AAAATATAAATAAAAAACCAAGTTATTTTAAAAAAAAAAATTATATTTTTAAGGAAATTTAAAATTGAAAAATAGTGTAATTTTATTTTGAGAAGAAAAGGCTATTTATTATACAAAACAAATATAAAAGTACAAACGATGGCATCCCATTAATAACGAATTAATGTAGGTGTTATTGGGCAACACTAGTCCATCTCATCTGATCAAATAAGAGAAAAAAACGAGCCTGCCGCGTACATCAGAGGATATGGAAATAATCAAGAACCGAATGTTACGATTACGACGTAAACGGCATTGTTATTCATCGTTACAACATGCAAAAGACTTGTTTTTAAAATTAAAAAATCCTTAATAACCATTATATATATATATATATATAAGACAGTATATATTTGTGTGAAAAAAATTCACCCCAACTAATAAACTCGGGCTATATATTCGGAGGAAGGGATAAAACGGATTTCACTTTCTGGTTTCAAATCCCGTGTGTCTTGGGTTCAAATCCAATGATTGTTAAAACTCTCACGGTTATGAATTTGAAGGCTCACCCACCTACAATAGCTCCAAATCATTCATGATCGCTTGAAGAATAAGTCAGTGTACTGTACATAAAACCCTAATTACTAAAAGTAAAAAGTTGTAATAGAAACAAAAATAAGGCCATAGACCACATTGGGCCTCAACTTAATTATTTTGTTGGACTCAAAGTAGATATATATGGGGTCCATTCTCATCATATTTTGTTTCTAAATACTAGTTAAGGGGCTATTTATCAAAGTTTTTATTAAGTTTTGTATGGATAAATTTGTGTGTCTGGATAAATGGTTGTTGGTGTTTACTTTTTTTATCTGAACCAACAGTTTGAATACTATAAATGACCGATTTACCCCCCCACCAATATTAATTATTTGAATATTAAAACAAAAAATCATAAAGAGGCCAAAGATGGGGTGTCTCATATGGGAAGAAGACGGTGCTTTAAATAAGGGGTATGTGTGTCATTTTTGTGGCTGAACGGGGACAATACACAATTTTTATCTGTGCGAATAAGCCGTAAGTAAACAACCCAAATGAGTTGTGCGAATACGCCATATAGATCAATAAGCCTAATTAAGCCGCAAGTAAACAACCCCTAAATGTATTTTTAATTTCGGTTTTAATATTTAATATTAATATAACTTGAACCTAATTAAATGAAAAATATATTCGTTTTTTTAAAGTATAAAGCATATTCTTTTGTATTTATAATATATAATTTTAACGAGTCTCAAACATGAAAATTATGCCCGTAATATTCATTTTAAGGAGTCATATTTATGGTGTAATAAATAAAAAAAACGAGTTTTTTTAAATATATATGATAAATAAAATAAATAAATTCATACAGCCTCAGCTAGATAGTATTTAAAAAAACGAGTTATAACAAACTAACATGCAAACAAACAAAGGAGCATTGGTGGGGCCGGGTCTAGAAGTTCCAACTTCACGTTTATAATAAATGTTTTTACACTTGCAGATTTTTGTGCTTTATAAGCCCAGATATGTAAAAACAGCTCATTTTGGGAAATAGGAAAAATTTCGGTTTTTTAAATATTAATATAATCGGTAAAATTAAAGGATTTAGGTAGTGTTTGGTATGCAGACCGGATGAAACAAAACATTACTAATTGTCTGTCTTATTTTTGGTATGACTAGGACAGGATATGACAAAACGGTTAAAATGTCCATATTACCACTAAACATTGTTCAATGTTATTTTATATCATATAATGATTATAAATGACAACAAATCAACCAAAAATATATTTAAATTATTCAATATATGATATCAATATTTTTTTTAACATTCCAAGACCAAATGTAAATCACATGTGTCATACCACAAATTCTAGATATGCACATAATTTAAAAAGTTTAAACACAACAATTGTAAATAACATTTGTTACACCATCATCAAAAGTTTAACGTTTCTAGAATGAAGGCTGGAATCGATAATGAAGGATGTGGAAGAGAAGAAAGATGATGCAATTAAAATAGGTTTGTATTTTGATATCAAATAATAAGGGCAATATTGTAATCTCAAATTTAGTCCCATATTAACAAATTCTTTTTTACATAAATGTAGTTTCTTACGTAAATTTGTATAAAGATTTTTCTTTATAAAGTATGAAAATAGGTAATGTGTAAGACATTTACATAAACTACAGTTAAAATGATAATTTTCATTAAAAAATGACTAAAAAGTGAAGTTGGTTGAAAAGATCAGTTATTTTCCTAAAAATAAACACAATTATATGTGTATATATTTATAAATTATGTAAAATGAAAATTAATTTAGATTTAGGGAGGAATAGCAAGATTTATGATGAGTTGTAAGACCAAGTCACAACCAACTAATACCTACTACCCACCTTTTAAGTGTCATTGCAAATGTTTTGTGATGCTAAAGCGTGTTGTATTTCTTTGACTGTAATAGTAAATTCTACATCAAATATATTATCATTTCTTTTTTATTTTAATATATATATATATATATATATATATATATATATATATATATTAAAAAAGTACTCATACAATGCAGCAAGATATATCTTAATTTTAATATTTTATTTTTCTTTGTCTCAGTTGATGTTATAATACAGTTTTATGTGGTTTTGAGAAAGCGATAATATTTTTATTTTTGATAAAATATAAATATGAAGGTACATCATAAAAAATTGAAAAAAAAGTTATTGATATCGGTACTAAACAAACTATTTAAAATTTCTCCCTTTTTATGATTTTATTAATTTATTCTTTTATTTTTGGTTTAATAATATAACTTTTTATAAGATAATAATTAAGTAGTTTGTTAGAACTCAATGATTATTTTGATTATATTTTAAATTTTTTATATTTAAATGAGATATTTATCATCTATTTGATTATGTTTATCTGCAGTTAGTTACATGAATTAAAAATGAAAGCTTTAATAAGTTGTACTTACGCACAATTACTTGTAATCTAGAATTTTAAGTAATATGCATCAATAAACAGTACTTTATGCTTAAAAAATGGTTTTTAAGAGTTTCCGTCATATGATTTATAATATAGTATATATATATATAGACTTGAGATCATGTGAGACCAATGATTTTTCGTGAGACTCGTAAGACCAATTCTCAACCCTTGGATTAGATCTACAATCGTCAGATCTGAACATTCATAAACGCCACGAGACTTCTCAATAATTACAAAATTGTCACCGTGCAACTTTAAACCATTAGATCATTAGCTTATAAAGTTGATCAATGAGCATAAATTGGTTTCACGGGTCTCACGAAAAACCCTTGGTCTCACGAGAACCCAACCTACCTATATATATATATATATATATATATATATGAGTTTGTATTTTTAAAAACTGCCTAAATGTTCATAGTTAAAATGTTATATTTTTTAAAAAAAATAGTAAATTTTCATCTATGTTGATATTCTTTTAAGATCAATATTTTTAATAACGCATACAATTTTAAAACAAAAATACCATATATATATATATATATACACACACACACACATCTCCATAGTGTTGAGTTCACGTGAAACCAAAAGTTTTTCATGAGACCCGTAAGACCAATTTATATTTATTGATCAACTTTATAAACTAATGATCTAATGTTCTAAAGTTACACGGTGACAATTTTATAATTATTGAGAAGTCTCGTGACAATTTTGTGATTATGAATGTTCAGATTGTAGATCTAATCCAAGAACTGAAAATTGGTCTTATAAATCTCACGAAAAACCCTTACTCTTATATGATCCCAAGTCTACCTCTAAAAAAAAAATATATATATATATATATATATATATATAGAGAGAGAGAGAGAGAGAGAGAGGGAGAGGGGAGAATTAGTTTAGTAAAGAAGTAATTAGATGTTATTTGGTAGAGGGTTAAATCATAAATGTATATAATGTCACTTACTAACCAACCAATAAAAGTAGCACCCAACCCTTTCCAATTCCAATTCCCATTCCCAAACAGATGGTGAATAGAGAAACACCCTCTCACGACTCATTTCATGATTGGTCAATGCTTATCCATCCATGGGACCCACTCACATATTTATATCTACATCTATATCTATCAACGTGCTAATGTAGATGGATGGGTATTTCAACCTTCATCAATAAATACCAACCCAACACCTTACGAGACTTCTATTTCTCAATATTTCTCTTTCAACAACTCCATTTTTAATTCTCTTTTTTTTGAAAATAATTAAAGTCTTTTTGTCTATTCCTATTTTTATAAGATTGAACGATATCAGATTGTCGTTTCTAATTTTCTCTGACTGTATTAACTAAAATTTAACTAGATCAGATCTATCTGTCTGCAACTCTACATATATATGTATCTAAGACTATGACATGATAATCTAAGACTATGACATGATAAAATCAAAACGAAATTGTTTAGTATATGTACATGCAATGGATACATGGTGAATTATAACCATTAAGTCATTTTGGTTATTGTTGAATTACTTAAGCAAAAAACGTATAATGAAACCAAAACCAGTGATGTGTTTGAATGAAAAATCATTAAACTAAACAAAGAAATAAAACGAGCCTTGTGTTTGAAAATACAACTTAGAAGACATTAAGCACAATTAAGCTATCAAACAACCAGATTATATATAACAATATAAACAAAGAAAATAAATAAATATATATATATATATATATATATATTTATATTTTACGATACACAAGAATAAAAATATGAACCAATTACAAACTTCTGTATCCTTCTTATCTTAATGATGAACTTCTTAAATTGCAACACATATATAACCCAATCGTGGTAATTGAATATTACCCTCATATTTAACCTTTAAGATTTGATATATGGACTCATGATATGAATACATGAATGTAGGGTAAAAATATGATTATATATATATATATTCATTTGTAAGTAAATTTTGCCACATTTTTATTATTAAAATCGTTTTAATTTAAATCCCCCAAAACAAATTTTCCTACCAAGATTTCAATGGGTATTGGTGTATGGAATCGTTCCATGGATTATCATTCTCCGGTTCAGGATCCTGTATCCATTTCCACACCAAGCTTCCCACCTTGAACCCGGTTCCGAAGGCAATCATCCACATTTTATCTCCCTTTTTTACTTTCCTTTTTGCTTCAAAATAAGCCAACTCGTAAAACACTAGACTGCTCGAAGTATTCCCGAACCGGTTCAGACTCATCCGGGCCGGTTCAGTCACCGACTCACTAAATTTCATAACTCGTCCCACTTGCTCAATCACTGCCTTCCCGCCTGTGTGCACGCAGATATGGTCGAACGCCGTCGTGAAATCTGGCACCACCGGTTTCAACTGCCCGGAGGACAAAATCGACGCCGCCAACGAGTAAGCATACATCACGAGTTGATTCAGTGGCAGGACTCGTGGGGCAAGGATTTTAACGTGTTCTCGGAGGTTTACGCCGGCGACTCTTATTAAGTCTTTGGTGAGTGAAATGCCGGTGATTCCCTTCGAGTCTTCCTCTTGAAAAGCAGCGTGGTAGGCGGAGTCGTCGGCGGCGTGGTGGGTTCTGAGGGACTGGGTAAGTTCCATTTTTGCGGATGAACGACGGGATGGGTCGTTGGTGATTATCGCCGCAGCACAACCAACGCGAAAGATGCAGTTGGTGACCAGCATTGATCTTTCTTCACCGTCGTACCAGTTTAAGGTAATGCTCTCGGTTATAACAACGAGAGCATTCTTGATTTTCCTGCCACCGCCACGTAAGACCTGATGAGCTAAATCAATGGAGAGTACGCCGGAGCTACAGCCCATGCCGCTAAGATTATACGTTTTCACATCTGATTTGAGCTTGTAGTGATTGACAATGAGAGACGAGAGAGAAGGGGAAGGTGAAAACCCCCCACAGGTAACGATGACGACGTCGATTTCCTCCGGCTTGATCTGGGTTTTGGACAGGAGAGAATCAACGGAGGAGAAGATACCTTCCTCGGCTTCCTGGATGGCGTTTTTCTGCGACGGGGTTTGGTTCTTCTCAAACATAAAGGGCGGTGCATAGGTGTGGTTACCTAACCCAGATTTCAAGTAGATGTTACGCATGAAATCCACAGGCTCGGAAGTGGTGAATCGGGCACTGTGCATCAAGAAATTATTGGCCAAGTCATAAGTACATTCCCGGTGGGAGGGGGGTTGGTAGCAGGAGTAGTTGAGGAGCAAGACGGGGTAAGCTTGTGATCGGAAATAGAGGAGGAGGAGGAAGGCGGCGGAGAGGGATGTGATGGTGGTTAACAGCAAATGGGTAGAAAGGAAGGAGATGAGGGATGCGGTGATAGGGTGGTGGTAGAAAACGACGGTGGTGTGGAGGAGGAAGGTGGAGGATAAGAGAGCGAAGAAGATGAATTGGAGGCGATGGTGGATGGAGAGCTCCATGGTACAAGTCTTAAAGATGCTTACAGATGACTTGCATTTGCATGGTTGTAGAGATTTCAGGGGGAACGTATTGGAATTTATACCAAAAGTGTGGCCTTGTCTATGCCAATCGAAATTACAAAATTACCCTTCACTCTTCAACTATTTTTTTAATTTAATTAAAATAAATAAATCGTGTTATATATATATATATATATATATATATATTGCTGTAAATGAATGAATGTATTTTTTTTAATACCAGAAGGATACTCGTGCAATGTATTAAGACATATTTCATTTCAATGTTTCGTTTTATTTTTTTATCCATGTCGATATAATACGATTTTATATGGTTTTGAAAAAGCGATAATGTTTCTATAATTTGAAAATATCATATAAAGTTTGCCAAAAATATATTAATATTAGTATCAAATTACTTATTTAAAAGTTCTTGTTTGTGTATTGTTTTTTTAATTCAAAATGTTATTATAATTTAATTTAATGTAGCGAAGTAACTTAATTTAGGTTTAATAATATATTTTTATAAAGATAATAATTAAATATTCTGTTATAACTTAATAATTATTCTAATTATATTTTAGATTTTTTATATTTTAAAATGAGATATTTATCCTCTATTTGATTAAGTTTATCCGCAGTTAGTTACACAAATTCAAACATAAAGCTTTAATAAGTTGTACTTATGCACAATTTACTTATAATTTTGAATTTTAAGTGATATGCATCAATAAACAGTAATTTATGCATAAAAAATGATTTTTAAAAGTTTTTGTTAAATACTTTATAATATAGTATAGATAACTTAATCATCTATAAAAAAGAAAAGAAAAAACACAATAACTAATAAATAATTCAAACTACAAAAAGTTATTAAATATATATATTTTTTTTATTTCTAAAAAGAATTTCATTTCTGTTGCAACGTAATGAGTCATTAGGCTCGTTTTATACGTAGACTATTTAGATTGTTTAAAAACTCTAATACATAAAAAAATGTAATCAAAACACACACACACACATATATATATATATATATATATATATATATATATATGGTTTGAAAATATATCGTGTATGTATATCATAATTTATAATTAAATTGATCTTATTAATTGTTGGCCAAAATATACTAATTAGGGATTGTTTATCAAATTTTTTATTAAGTCTTTTATGGATAAACTTGTTTGTCTAGATAAATGGATGTTGTTGTTTACTTTTTTTTTATCTGAACCAACAGTCTGAATAACATAAATGACCGATTTACTCTCCAATATTAATTATTTGAACATCAAAACAAAAAATCATGAAGGGGTCAAAGATGGGTGTCTCATATGGAAAGGAGGCGGTGCTTTAATTAAAGGGTAGATGTGTCATTTTTGTGGCAAAATGGGGATAACACATCATTTATATTTGTGTGATTAAGCCATGTTATGTGCGAATAAGCCGTAAGTAAACAACCCAAATGAGCTGTCCGAATAAGCCATATAAACCAATAAGCTTAATTAAACCGCAAGTAAACAACCCCTAATACGTACTAATACTAGCTAGGGTTAATCTAGGTTATATTGACTTTCTACGTCTAATTACTAGAATGTATATGAATCCCAAGTCTAATTTGGCCTAATTCTCAAAGCTTTTTCTAATCTTTATTAACTACCTTGTCTTGTTTTTATTGTTGTCAATGGACTGGCGTAGTTACATTTCGTCTTTATATTTATATGCCAATATCAAGTGTATGCGGATCAAATTGTGACAGTTGCTATATCAGATTACTTTCTAAAAGAACTTTTAAAAAGTGAAATGGACTAAAGGGGGTCGTTTACCCAAATGCTTACCTGGTAAACGCTTACCAATAGAAGTTAACTCTATTATTTATTTTGATGCGTAAGATTTTAGTACATCAAAACATATCGAATGCAACAATTTACTGGGTAAACGCTTATTTGGGTAAGAGTCGTCATCCTTACTTACCGGGTAAGACTCTCCATCATTCTCATCGCTCTTACCCGATAAGATTATTGGCCCTTCTCATGTTCATCCGATGAGAAAATTTATGGCGTTAAGCATTTACCAAGTAAGTGTTTTGTAAACGACCCATAAGTCTAGCCAATTAAAAAATTTCAACACGCCCTTTCCGATCGAGCCTAGCAACCAAAACTTGTCACAAAAGTGTCAAGATATTATCCCAGGGTATAGAATCCAAACATTGGTAAGTATGAGTCTAATAATATATGAGAATATGTGACTCCCATTAAATTACTTTCCTAAGGAACCGAGATGCTCCAACATATATAGATGTTGATGTACGATGGTTATGAATAGCAACTTTTCTTAACAAAAATTATAGATGTACCTGTTTTGCTTGCGGGCACAGGAACGCCCACGGTTTTTTGTGTACTTCAATTTTACACCTAGGTTTCTTGATGGTTTCATAAACGGTTTTAGGGTGTTCAATGAAATTTTATGCATTTGTGTGGTAAATTTATATCTCATTCGAGATCGTTGTCCTTCCAGTCATGAGCCAATAAGGACGTCGTATGTAGATCGCGAGCCATTAGAAGCTCATGTTTTTCAAACACGATTGCATGAAACGTAACATAAGATTTTTCAGAATCTATTAAAAGTAACTAAATATATATATATATATATATGTTTGTTTGTTAAGATGCTTAGTTTACTTAACGACTTACAAGCTCATCTAACGATTATGTTAATCCATGTTTAATATTTAAAAAAAAATTGAAAGAAAATGTGTAAGTCAAAGAAATAGAAAATAGAGAAAATTTATAGTGAAATTAGGCATGTAAGAATTAAAAGAGGTTAGGATTGGCAATAAATGATGATGTGAGAATCCAATGGTCTCAACATGCTGTTTACTGGAACTACATTGCAATTGCAATACAATTATATTGTGGGCTCAACCAATTGCAATAAATTACCATCAATCAAATTATTTATATCAAATCTTTTTTATATCTAACTTCAAGAATAAGAATATATATATATATATATATATATAGAGAGAGAGAGAGAGAGAGATATGGTATATTTTCAAATGCAACCATGTTCATTTATACAACCAATTCAATTAATTGAGATATTTATGAAAATGATGAAAGTTCATTTATTATGATTTGAATATTTATAGAAGATAACTATAATTCATTAATTACGATCAATATTTTATATTAGAAAATAATCAAAACTTTTATGAAATCATATATTCATCAAATTAAATGGACGGTTGAGATTGAGTTATATTGGTTGTACAAATATAAATGGTTGTATAATAATTCAACTATATATACATATATATATATARAGAGAGAGAGAGAGGTTGGTTATTAGACAACTCTTGACATTTGTGCAACCAATACAACCAAATCTCAACCGTCTATTTCATTTTATTAAGATGTGATTTCATAAAAGTTTTTATTGTTTCCTAATATAAAGTATCGATCATAATTAATGAACCATATTATCTTCCATAAATATTCAAATCATAATAAATGAACTCTCATGATTTTCATAAATATCTCAATATATTGGGTTGCATTGGTTGTACAAATGCGATGAGTTGTATTTGAACCAAATTATATATATATATATATATAGTTTTTCTAAAACAAAGAATTAACAGGCAAATTTTGCACAAATTCTTTATTTATTAGATATTTTATTGAAGTAAAATAGAGAATAAAAGTCTCATTTTCTCTGTTACAAAAAATATGTTGGAGATGCTCTAAGTATTATTGTATTTGCTATTAACTAAAACCAAATTTTATTTTCATTTCGAAAATAAAATTCGGTTAGTTATATAAATGGACCACATAAAAAACTTTGTTTCTTTTGTTTTTATGTCAAAAATTTGGTATGGTTTTTATTCTCCTACTAGAAATGCGACTTTTTGACATACTTCACTGAAATAGACTTGTCATAAAAAATGTGAGATTTTTGGAAACGAATTACAGTGAATCTTATGCCATAAGAAGCACCTTGCGCAAAGAGCATTAAAAATAATGTCATAATCTAATTTATATCTGCTCGTTTCATCCTCTGTTATTGTCCTAGATCTGGAGGTCCGTGTCTCTTTGTTCTGGAGCTTGAATTCTTTAAGTTCTTGATCTATTATTGTCCTATATATACACATTAACACACACATACGACTTGAAAAGTTTGATAAGCATTGAAGTCAAATTTGTATAAGCTTGAATTCGACTCGTTATATATTTCAATTTTATTGGTAAACTCGAGTTTTTAACAAAGCCGGAATGTTGCTTTTATTAAAACAAATGGTGTTTTCGCGTTTATATTCTATAATTTTTGTAACACCTAAAAAAATGCGACTAATTAAAAATTTTGTAATAAATGAATTGAAGGTTTAATTCTTTTTTAAAAGACAATACTCAAATTATCAAACCTTACACAATGTCTGGGTTAGGGATATGTGTTACTAAAACCCATTAAATGTCGCTATCTACAAAGTACGGAAGATGTCCCTAAATTGTTAATTCATTCTCGTGCTTCTAACCAACACTCAACTAATTACAATGTAGCTAGTACTGTTCCCCAATGAGGACCTAAAACACATGCCAACAAATAAAAAGAGTTAAACTTAATGTCTAATGAGTTCAAACGGTTTTCATCAATAATGTAAAACGGTAAAACTGAAATAATGTTATTTAAATAACAATTTTCAGAATGAAATATACTAAATATAAAAGTAACATCTTTCCCAAAAACCACAATTGTTATGATAAAACTCACTCATCAAAACATTCATTTAACATGAAATTAAAACTCAATACTCATTCAAAATCCAAATAGAGTATAATATTGAAATACTGAAAACATGAATAAAAAACACTAATATCCAAACACTCAAAACATGGATACTATTCAATATTGAAAACCATAAAATGTGGATACACTCCATACCCAAAACAACCCAAAATCATGGATAACACATTATCCAGAAACAACATCTTTCAGTGACA